ATATGTTGAAATATACTGAAAGGTTTATTATTTTTTTTTGGGTAAAATCACAGATTATCCAATGGGTTTTCATTTGAAGCATGCCTAAATCAATACAGTTTTACACTTTTGTACATAMAATTTTTAAAAAATACCTAAATGTCTAGATAATACATTTTATAAATATATATTTTGTTAACAAGAATAGTAAAAAAAAATCATTATAATTAATAAATACGTCGGAATGTCAAACGTTTTGAAGAGAAAGTGTCTGACGTCTGTCATTGTATTGTGTTTTATCTTTTCTATGGTGTTATTCGTAATAAACCCTACCAACAATACAGACTATTATAATATGATTATAATATGATGATAAACAATAACTTTATTGTTGAATGTTAACTATTGTTCCAATTGTATAAATATATTGAATTTAAGTAATTTTAAACATAATATTCATGTACTTTATACAGTTCAATATAACAATACAATGTATAATCAAATAGTATGTTAATACAATATTAATATCAGTTTATAATATATTKTTAAGTACTATCGGATAAATTTAAATTTAAATGTAAGCAATTCAATGTTTAATTTAATGAGATAACCACTTAATCAGTATATTTATTTGAAGAGATTCTGAAACGGTTTACAATTATTWAACACATGGAACCATGCATTGAAATCGAAATATATTTGGCGCAATAAGATCTGAAAGTACTTGAAGTACATGTAGACAGAAAAACCAATTAAAAGGTGTTAATCAAACAGAGATGTGGAAATTCTTCATCAAAGTAAATTAAAAGTAACGTCACCCGTGCAGAGATCATCATTTGTGRAACTATATATAGTGTTAAGCTCCAACGAAAATGAATGAAATATCTTCAAAAGTAATGGTGTACAGTAATAATTGTGTGTTTGCGATATGGCATTATATGCWGTAGCGAGCGTAATAAGTCGTGATACATATTAAAAATTTGACGAGTTTTTCGACAAAATGGTATACAATATATATTCGAACGGTATTTAAAATTAAAAGAGAAGACTTAAGGTATGTTTGATTCGTGTAATTTTTATAATAATATAAWCAATAGTCACAACTTACGTCACGTAAGTTACGTGTACATAGTGCACTAATCTCAACCTAACCAAAAATGGGTTTGTGGCCGAGAGCGCAGTAGGTTTTTTAAATTATAATATTGTAATAATT